CGTTATAATAATAATAATATTATCTTGATTTTTGGATGATGATACTTGTATGCAATTATTATATATTAAATTAGAATAATAATTTTAGGTACAGAGTTTAGAGTTCAGAATTCTTAAAAAATATAATAAAAGTTATCAATTAGTGATGATTGAAAAACATTAATGAGACTTACAGTATATCTTCATGATCTGTGAGAGTTGAAGTAATAGTAGGTATAAGTAGGTATACAGAAATAAATCATTGTTTAACAATTAAAATAAGAAATTGCATAGAAAAATTATTTATTAAAATGAATGGTCATACAATAGTAAAATACTAAAAGAATTTATCTAAAATAATTAAGAAATATATTAGTTTTTTACGCATTTTAAACGAAAAATAAAAATATCTATCATAATATCTAGATAATTTTTTACAAAATCATCTTTATCTTATCAAGATATTATTTTTGTTATCTGAGCTCAACACTGTTTACAAGTGGATTACTGTTGTAATGAATTATATTAAATTTGAATTCAATGATATAATATATAATATTATTGTCTATTTGTCTACGAAAAATGATTCTGAGCCGAGACGGTTTGTCAGTCTAGGATATTTTATAGTTTTATACTATATTAATTATATTGCTTTTATTAAAAAAAAGATTAGGAACCAATAAAATAAATTCCAAATTATCAAATCAGATTCATTATGTAGCCGATTCACTCAGCCATTAATACTTAATAGTAGGTATGTACAATTAATTATAAAGTATTATTATTATACRTCATTAACGATATTAACTCTCAATGCTCATTAAATAAAATTGTGTCTATGTATTTTTGATAATTTTGATTTTTCAAGTGACAATATATTAGGAGCCTTGTATTAAATTTTGAAGCTTTTTACCCAATGAATAAAATTGTATTGTCATGTATAAAAAAAAAAAAAAAAACTAAAAGTTTGAAAATTCAAAATATCTATAAGTAACTTAAAAAGATATGAAGTATTTTGAAAATTTTACAAAGTATAGAAAATGCCAGTATAAACATTCAGTGATAATTTTATTTGTCTACCGTAAATTTTTATATAGTTACCTTAATACCTAAAATCGATTATCTCAAAAATTGATTTTGAGTAAAAATTCTCATTTTTCTTGGTGCTTTTGAAAACTAATAGAAATTTTAAATTTTGACTCCTAACCTCCAATGCACAAACTAAAATCACTTTCCAACCGGAATAGCTACTTAAGTTGAAAATCGAGCATTATTCGACAACTTATTATGTAGTTAACATAGACACAAAAAAATTAACAAATCATTGTAAAATAAATAGGTATACCTTCTAAAATAAAACTAGGTTTTAGGTAGTTTTAGAAATAGTTTAATAATAATTGAATATTTAAAAACTGAAATATTTTCTATGTTTCTCAACAAATTATACATTTTTTTGACAATTAATTTATAGAAAAAAAAAAAAAATCTATAAATAAAAAAATAAGAACTTAGTGAGTAATAAATAATAAACTAGGTAACTCTTGTAGTTCAAAAAAAAAAACAATAGTTCTTGTTTTTAAATTAAAAGCCTGAAATATTAATTAGAAAATATCATCGAATTTGGATAGTTACAAACAAAATATATGTCTTGTATTAAAAATGCTTATATAATATACTATGGCTTTTGTTAATGTGTATTGGTTATTACTTTATTAGTGTGCTTACTTTTTCGAGTCGGTTGATGAACTCGACGAAATTCCCGAACGACGTGATGAATAATACCCTAAACGGCTCCCGGTCTTCAATGTTTATTTTGTTAACCGATTTGTTATGACAGCTGAACACGTGTTCCTTGAGTTCTATGCACCGTTTGAGTTTCTCGAGCAATAAGACTTTGGGTTGGCTCCAAAAAACCACGGTCAAATCGTCGGTCAGATAGTTAACACTACTTATCACCGTCTGGTTCAAACATGTCAACAGCAACTTGGTAGTGAACCGTTTGTCAAACGCATCCATAGAAAATGACTGTGCATTCGGCATAATATCAAAAACGTTTTCAACTGCCAATCTCAGACGATTAATATCAGTCTGATACAGATCCTCGAACACCTTCTCGAATGAGTTCAAATACTTCACTGATTCCTTAATTTTTCTGTAGAAATGCATCGTTCTCTGTTTCACAGTAATCCACGGCTACATCATAGGTATATRGTCAAGCGTGATAATAAGATGATATTTCGTTATAGTAAATATAAAATGTAATATTATGTGATGTAACTCGGAGTAAATTTTTAAGTGAGCAATATTATAGTAAATACATTTTAACCTATTTCACTTGACAATATTTTAAAAGTTACTACCCTTCGTCCCTGAAACCAGAGTATGTATATATGATTCAGTTATGTTGTCTATTAACCATAATAAAGGCATAACATTATTTTTAGATGCTCCTGGGGGCACGGATAAAACTTTTTTGATCAATTTATTACAAAAGTAAGATATGCTTGCAAAATTTCTGTTGCGGTGGCATAATCTGGAATTGCAGCTACGCTATTAGTAGGGTGCCGAACAGTTCATTCTACATTTAAACTTCCTTTACAATATGATAGTGACGATTCTACGAATGTTTGTAACGTTTCAAAGCAAAGTTATACTGGTAAATTGATGAAGGACTGTAGTATAATTATTCGGGACGAAGCTTCAATGTCCCAAAAATTTTCATTTGAAGCTTTAGATGGAACGATGTGACACTTGCGTGTAAAATAGTCCTATGTGTGGCTATATTATGTTAAGGCATATTTGAAAAGATCCTACTTATGGCTGTATATAAAAATATTAGGACTAATACGAGAGTGTCATGTACCAGTCAAGATAATATACATTTTGCCAAATATTTATTTTTAATAAGCAATTGCGAATTTCAAGCAACGAATGAYAAAATAAATATTAAGTTTCTGTAATTCAGTACCCACTATAACAAAGTTATTTCAAAATTTGAACCAGGACATTCAAAATATATTTTCTAAATTACTGCTATGGTTTCAAGAAAGGACTATTTTGTCAACAAAAATTGAGCAAGTCGATAAATTAAATAAATTGATTCTATCTGGGTTTGACGCATAATCACAAATATACTATTCAGTTAATACAGTTTTAGAACATGAAGATGCAGTCAATTTCCCTACTATTTCTTAACACCTTCAGGAATTCCATCCCATAAACTGAATTAAAAAATAGCCCCTATCATTTTATTGAGGAATTTGAGCCCACCCGCACTTTGCAGCGATATAAAATTAAAAATCAAAAAATTGAGAAGTTTATTGCTTGAGTGCTTAATCTTAACAAGCTGTGGTACTGGAAATCCCGTTTTAATACCAAGACTACCAATTATACCCTCAAATTTACCTTTTCAGTTTAAACGTATTCAATTTCCCATTAAATTAGCATTTGCAGTAACTATTAATAAAGTACAGGGACTAAAAATTAACATCACTGTATTAATATAAATATATACAATAAAATAAATCTTGCAATAGCGAAGCATTTCCGGGTGAGCTAGTTTATATAGAGTTCTCTCACTCTCTCTATATATATTTACATACAGGGCTTAACAGAAATACCTATAACATGATATAACTTTTCTTTAATATTTTTTATGAAAATTTATAGTCACACGCACTAAAATTTTAATATAGAAAAAATATTTTTGTTTTTTATACTGAAATAAAAAAAAATGTAATTTAATTATATTTTTGAAAAAAATTTAAAATATCCAATTTGTTAATCTTGTTATCAGAAGAATGTTAAGTAAAAATATTTATTAAAGAAATGTAGGTATCTTATTTTATAGATTTTTTGAAGTAAAATATATTATTTTTTTAGTAAGTTAATTTAAAACGAAATAATTTTTTTCAAAATCTTATATACGGGAATTTTCTAACATGAGTAATTTCTTAAATTATTTATCAACCATATGATATTCACGATTTTTGTCATACGCTTAAGTAGCATCTTTTTTATTTTCAGGTTTTTTATTATAATATATTATACCTAATGTTAAGATAAGTATATTTACTTGTAGCAAACTAGAATTAGTTCGTTCCATGGCTGTTTCAGCGAATATCACGAAATTGCTTTTGAATAAGAAACACACCCGATTAAACTTAACATACATTTTTCTCCAAAACTCAATTTCTTTTTGAGGCCCGAACCACGCTGGCTGTTTTTTTTCTAGCTTATACTGCTGAAGCATCTGTACATAATGAAATGCATGATATGTTTATTATTATACTTATTAGAGTTCATGTTTTACGATGTTGGTATAATAATGATATATTATGTGTTACGCATTTTATAATAACTATTGTACCTACCAAATCTGATAGTCAACGTCGAATTTAACGGAGAAAATATTAACATTTGCGGACCGGGTCCTAGCCCTAGGACTAGCTCCTCACAATATTTTTTTTTAATCGTATCAAAAGAAAAACGAAAAATAATTCAAACTGATAATTCCAAAAATGTYGTGTCACGTGAATTCACACAATATTGACTGTGATAATAATAATAATAAAAATAATAAATAAAAATCTATAATGCTCGCTAMAATAAGTCTCACTAAAACTCGAGTACGGCTGGACCGATTTAGCTCATTTTGGTTTTAAATTATTTGTGGAAGTCCAGAGAAGGTTTAAAAGGTGAGTGAGTATGAAAATGTTCGGAATCAATTTTTTATTATTAAATTTAAATTTACATGCTTATTTACTTTATTTCTGAAACTACTCAACACACTGGGATGTGCGAGATACGGGTGCTATGACGATACACGATTATGACCCATTATGTTTATCTGTTATGAATATTATCTAAATCTATACCTATATATTGTTATATATCCGATATAATAACCGATATCACACTAAGCACACGCTTACTTAGTACGGCACTCTCCACGTTCGTGTTTTGTTCTCTCCGTGTACGTGCGCATGAACTTATCACACTTTCATTAATTACAATTTACGATGCCGAGAAGAAGACGACTCAGGTCGTCGCAGTCAATCAAATGTGCGAAGAGCTACTCACGTGCTAACCGCACTGATGACCAGACAGATCAAAAAAATAGTCATATTGCTTTAGTCAGTGTCAATGAAATAGATAGGCTTAGAATAGAATTCATGCACAACAACTGCAAGCACGAAATAATGAAATTGAGCGATTCCAGAGAAATAGGAAAAACGTTCTTAATTTCATTGCTTTTGGCGAGGATCAGATCGCAAAGTAATGTAGCTTTAGCGTTGGTTTCATCTGGAATAGCTGYGACTCTACTAGAAGGCGGGCGAACTGCACATTCTGCCTTGAAATTACCATTAAACATGCAAATCAACGAAACACCAATTTGCAACATATCCAAAAATAGCGCAATGGCCAAGATCCTACAGATATACAAATTGATTATTTGGAATGAATGCACAATGGCCCATAAGAGGTCACTGGAGGCCCTGGACAGAACGTTGAAAGATCTTCGTGACTTTTGATCGTGATCGTGAATATTTTTGATGGGGGCCATGATTCTGTTATCAGGTGATATGTGATATTCATCAGACTCTTCCAGTCATTCCTCGATCAACTGTTGCTGATGAACTAAACGCATGCCTGAAATTATCGAATTTGTGGCTGTACGTTAAGACACTCCAATTAACAACTAACATGCGAGTATTTTTGCAACAAGATGAAACTGCAAATGTGTTTTCAATACAGTTGTTAGACATTGGAAATAATAAAGTCGCAGTGGACACCTCGGCCAGATTAATCACATAACCCACAGATTTCTGTCACATCACAGACTTCAAAGAAGAGCTTATTCAGCATGTTTTCCCAGATATAGCGCAACAGTTCAATAACCATAATTGGCTGGGTGAACGAGCAATATTGGCGGCAAAAAAATAAAAAAGTCGATGCTCTCAATGCAACCATTTAGAATTTTTTTACCGGGACAGTTGGTTTCCTACAAATCAGTCGATACCATTATGAACCAGGATGACGTAGTCAATTATCCCACGGAGTTTTTAAATTCGCTGGAATTGCCTGGATTACTACCACACAATTTGCAGTTAAAAGTAGGATCAGTTGTCATCATGCTGCGTAACATTAATCAACCTCGACTGTACAATAGAACAAGACTGGCTGTGAAAAAGCTAATGAATAACGTCATTGAGCAACAAACATAAAGGGACAATACAAAGGAGAAGATGTCTTGACCCCGCGTATACCGATGACTCCAACAGATTTACCATTCGATTTTAAACGTCTACAATTTCCCGTACGTCTGGCATTTGCGATGACCATAAATAAATCGCAAGGCCAGTCGTTGGATGTTTGCGGAATCAACTTAGAGTTTCCCTGTTTCACGCATGAACAATTATACGTCACTTGTTCGCGCGTCGGAAAAYCGTCATCTTTGTTTATTTACGCACCACAAAACAAAACAAAAAATATAATTTATCAGAAAGCTTTAAATTAATTAACAGACTGTATCATAACTGTTTGTGCCTAATAATATCAATTGAAACCTTATAAGTAGCCACTATTTCAGACTCTGTTATGTAAGTATCTCATTGTTTTGACGTGACAATTTTTAAGCAAAATCATGTGTAATAAATAAAATCTCATTCATACCGAGCATTTTTTTTTTTAAATTACAGATTCCTTTTGTTTGTTTTAAGTTTTTTTATATAAAAGTTTAGCTTTTTTATTCATCGAATGAGGCAATACGAAGTCGAAAAAATCCAGGTTTTCACCTTAGGTGACTTTTGCCCGGGCAAGTTGGGCGGGACAGCAGAATCTAGTAATTAATAATTATATCTCGTATCTAATACGCGTATACAAATTACAATCTACACGCATAAATTTATTTTTAATTATGTTGTCTAGCTATGATTGTAAAATCGTAAATACTACTAAATAATGAGTAGGTGCCTGATAACAGATAATAATTAACAACAAGAACAGGTTACTGCAAACTTTCGAAAACTTTTATTCGCCAATTTCTAATTATTAATAATGCAGTGATAATGTGTGTGCTATTATTACCTATATAAAATATGATCATTTTATTATTATAACATCTTTCATGAAAAATATATTCGGCTCACCTTCCGGAAACTAAACATCCAGCTTCGGATCATATCTTCGGATTTCAAAACCAAATCTTTTGTTTTTGTCAATACATTATAATCGTTGGAATCAATTATCACATCATCGTAAAAATTCAGTGGTGATTCGAATTCGATATCCTTGAAAATATTCTCAGTCGTTTCTGTACGTTAGAAAAATAGAATAATATTATAGGTACAAATTAATTTAAAAGTTTTATGTACAATAGTGAACGAGTTTAATTCACGCGGTGGACTCAAATAATAAAGTTATTAGTTTTTCGATACCATTGACAGTTAAAATTATTACAACGAAATAGTTAATGCATGGATTTATAATAATATTACTATTATGCGGCTAGTAATATAATATTTTTAACCGACCATCCTGATTGCACTACTAATAACAGATTTGTTTGGCGGATATTAATTATCATAGGCGTGCGCAGACTTTGTTTGCAGAGTATGCGGCTGATAAAATATGCCCCTCTCCCATATGTATAAATGACTCTACAATTAATGTGCTTGACATTTCATCTTAAACTTCTGGTTACTAATTTTTATTAGAATAAAAATAAGTTTTTCATATTTTTTTGAATAAAAGCATTTTTTTTTAATTTAATGAGACGCATTATTTTACAAACATGGTTATTGAAATAAAAATTTACATTATACATAATTGTTATACAAGCCTTCTCTTTCCTGGTATAAGGACTTTAAATTGTTCAGTCACATCCTCTATGTCAATTTCAATAGAAATTTATTATTCTATGTATATCAACATTAATGGATCCAAGGGCTTTAGGGATATCACTGAAACTTGATCACAAACGCTCGGTAAAGATATTTTTATCAGTGTACACTGGTCAGTCATGCTGGGGATTATATTAGTACAGAATAAATTAAATATTCGATAAATTAACTATTCGACTATTATAATAAACATAAGACTTTTCAGTATTTACTATTTAGACATGTTAAGTTAAAAATGTAACCATCGTCATTTGTAGGAAAATATAAATAGTAAATACCTACTCTAAAAATTAAACCCATATTTCCTTATTAARTGTTGAGAACCGTTCACAATGAATTTAAAAACAAGTCCATAATCTATATCGATATCGCATTACCATTTTATAACCACTATAACTAACCAGTCGAAATTATGAACTGATRCATTGTTCATGTGTCCCAAAACGTTTGCCCGCAGGTTATGCAAATGCATATACCCTCCATACCCTGAGCGCACGCCGCACACCTATGTTAATTATGATTTATATGTCCTATAATATATTCTTCTTTATTTTTTCTATAATAAATAATAATGTGTATCTGACAAGGTCATCTGTCTTAATGATAACTTCAACATTTAACATTTAACTTTAACTGTTATACAGTTGATAATGTATAAATAATATATTCATAATAACCATATATATATAGGTATTAGTATATTAAGACGGCTGAGAAGTTTTTGATCGGGAAAAGTTCGTGTAAATAAGCCATATAAAAAAATACCACAATACCATGACTTTCATAATGCTGTAAAATTTAAAACAGTAAAAAAACCGACTAATATATTTTGCTAAGCAATTATTCCATTGATAATATTGATGGGTATATTAAAAACATAATATTAGGTATGTCTTAAATTTAGAAAACGAATCAACGTACTCCCGTATTCACTAGTCTAATATGACTTCGTAATCTACAAAATACTTATTATAATCGAATTTACTATAGATAGGGGTAAATAATTTATTTTTTACTGGTTTAAATAATGATGCATTTTCAAAAGAGCAAGAGCCACAAATCTTATCTTAAGGAGCCGCAGGTTCCCGACCCCTGATAAATTATAATATAATTTATTGGTCGTAAATTACGACTCGTAACAGTACTATTTGACTTACCATCCATGAATGTTGCGATGTCTTGAACTTGCTTAGTACAATTCCGACGTTCCGTGTTTGGTAGTTGTATCATAGTGGTCGATGCTTTTATCGCAAACGTGTATACGCCAAGTATTTTACTAAGTTTTACGAAGTCCGACATGATGGTGATCGATAAAGGTCTTGCGTACACCTTATAATAAACAATAATATTATAGCAACGGCGGTGTATGAAAATAATAATGATAGTAATTACGCAGCTCAACTGAACGTGTTTTGTGCACTGATATATTGATATTCTCAAATCAAAATAATAATCGGCATAAGTGGTGTACCTTGATTATTATTTAGAGGGGCTGAAATCCCAGCTTATTATAGCTTATATCACAGTTTGATTACCACACAGACTTATGAAGATCAGATCCTGTAGTATATTTATGTGATTGCGATTGTGTAGGTTAATTTATACAACAGCCATAACTAACTATAATGACGTATTAAACATTTATCTTTATATGCGATATTATATTAATGTCGATATATTCATACATTAAAATAAACCATACTCACAATATACACTGATTTTAAAATGTAAATATCAACCTTTTTGAGTATACAGTTTTTGGTCTCTAGGCAATAACATATTTTAAATATAGTTTGTTTTTAATTTTTTGCTATAATACTAATATTTTATCCTTTTACAGACTTTTTATAATAGATATTCTCAATGTCCGCACTTATCAATATTTGTAGATATACATTAGCAGCTTTAAATTTATTGAGGAATTTAACAACTACCTACCTACTGTCAGTWAATAATCCGTAATACTAATTACTGTACTTACTTCCTGACCCGTGATATTTTATTAAGAATAAAACAAATAACAATACCGGGTTTAGGTTTTTAAAGAATTTATAATCTTAATTATAATGTATGTAGGTACACAGCATACGGATTACGGDTATTTATAATATTTTAGTTAATAATGTTTATTATTTTTTATGAAAATACAATATGGATTAAATTTATAAATTTTAATAAAATAAAAAGAACTTATACCGTATATTAATATATAGAACATTTTTATAATTATCTGGACACTTAATTTTATTGTTTAATGAATTAATGACACAATTTATTGTTATGAAAACTTAATAATCAATGCTGACACTAAAATATAATAAAAATGGTTAGGTTGATATTCTGGTTTTGAAGATTTTGGAGATGAAGTAAAAGAAGATTGTAAAGAAGCTGATAAAGCCGWTCATGGACTTGTGCTAATGCGGCAAAGCTTAGCAGAAAATTTTACCCAACCAATTGCATTGTTTGCTTCGAAAGGGCCAATTAAAGGCGATGTACATATATTTGAATTATTTTTCTTAATTTCAATATTTTATTTCCAATAGGCATTGATTTGGCAAAGCTAGTCATCAAAGTAGTTATGTTACACGACTACACGAGAATGCTGGTGGTCAAGTTGTAGGGCTCACAAG